TGTATGCGTGACATAAATTATGGACTTGACGTGGTGGTTTCTGGGAACGCTACACTGACAGATAAACAATGTGGCGGGCATTATGTATTATAATGAAAACGATTCGTCAAGCACATTCATCTCATTCTGAAGACGAAGAAGATGAATACGAAATGTTTGGGGGTGTGGTGGGCTACCAGTTCGAGCCAGTTAGGCGTCCTCGGGAAGGGGTGACTGACAGTGAAAGGCCAAATCAGGACGATGACACTGCCGAAATTCAGGAAAATGGAGATTGATTGGGAAATAAATTTATAATGACTGGTTCGTAGCGTTCATTTTGTATTAAAAATCGCCCGCTTAAAAATATTCATATCTTCTCTCGATGAAAACCTTTACAGAATTAAAATATCTTGATTAGTCTTTGAGATATTCCATGATGAATGGGGTAATAGTGGAGAAATATGGTCGTTATTTGTATGATTTCTTCACACTCATTTTATAAGTGATATACGGAACAAGTCATTATAAGATTAAAACTATTTTATAATATATGTAACTTAATCATAATTTATTTTAAAGACAATAGGTAATTTTCATAACATCATGAGTTCCTACATTCCCAAATCTGAATTGGTAAAACACACACATCGGATAGGCCTAACAATTAATGATAAAGTGAAAGTAGACCTTCTGATCAAATAATTGAAATAATATGAAACTATCCGCTCAAAATATACTTTAAATTAAGAAATGATAGTTTTAAATCATTTATGAGTTAAGTGTTTGAGATAAACTGAAATTTCATGAAATAAACTTCATTTTTCGCTTTTGTTACGCTTCAAAGATGTTCCAAAGTGGCCGCCATTACCACTGTTTTATTCTGGAAAATTGATATTTCACCGTTTTGGCTAAGTTTAAATGCCGATTTTGTTAGTATTAATTAAAAATAAGAACCTATAATATATTTCGAATGGGGTCTCATATGCGAATTGAATTTTAAAACACTTTTCTGGCTATGTCAACTTTCCAATTTAGAATATTTTCTATAAAAATAAAGAGTTTTGAAGTGAAATAAATAACAGAATGAGAGTTTTCAGTCGAAGCCTTGAAGTCAGCCCTTTTCAATTGTACGAATTTGACCCATACCAGCGTCTTTTGGAAAGCCGTGTTAACTGTTTTCTTTACAGGTATAGCTGCAAAATTGTGCGACACCGCGCTTCGGCATTTTGATGTGAATATTGTAAATATTAACGTAGCCTATCAAGGTTATGAGGTTAACGATGGTTCCAAAAATGATGTCATGTGGTCATGTGATTAATACGACATAATGGCGGACTGTCTTTGTAAAAAAACGGGAATTAAACACAAATCGTCTTTGTTTTACTTATACATGTATCTTAATTATCGATTATAAGATTGGAATTGGATACAATAGGATACATTCACGGTAGGTGTCAAGTGGCTCATAATTGACTTTCCATACACTTTAAGGAGAAAGGCTCCCTACTCAAAGGTAAATAGCTGGATAGTAACATGGCCCGACCTCTCTTAACTCTACCTTTATTTCCCTCGCCTTTTTTTTTTATATAACTCTTGCCTTTTTCCTTGTTTTTTTTACAGTCAACTTCTAGCTTTTTTTTTCTCGCTTCCTCGTCTTTTTTTTTCGCCTTTTTTTTTCTTGCTTTCTAATTTTTTTCGCCATTTTTAGCGCCTCTTCTTCGACTTTCATTTCCTCTATCTTTTCAAATACACATTTTCACTAAAATTGCTTTTTTTTATTCTATTATTTTAATTATGCCATTATTCGATATAAACCCATGTGTTCCTTTCATATAAAATTCAAAATAGCAAATTTTAACCACACTGATCAAATCAGTTCATATCTGATTTCAATAAAACGTATGAAAATCAACATCAAGCAATTATTTACATCTGATCACAAAGAACTCTCATGTAGCAAACTTGTCCCTCACAGAGTCTATCATGGTTGTTAACGTCATATGATATCAACATCACTTAAAATTGGTAACAAAGTATCTCGATCACCAGATAAAATATGCCAGACACGGTCAGACGAGAGAATTTACCAGCAAATAGAATCACCCACGTAAATTATCTGCCTTTTGCTAGGTGGCAGACAAGCTATTTTATCATGTTGATTAAAATCCCAAACAAATTTTTACGCCAGATCATGAAGAGGCACTAGTAGTGAATATTTTAGAGCAAATCTGTCGACGTAACTTTGCCGATTACCAATAAAACAATGTGAACGGATGGAACAACATGGGTACCGACAATAAATACAAAATAAAGACAAAATTATAGGGGTTTTTCTTATTTATAACATAAAAAGGTGAGGAAAAAGGCGTGAAAGCGGAAAATGGCGAAGTAAAAAACAGTTGCATTCCCTCTCGGGACTGGGGGTACAAATAGGGAGTAGACTGACTGAATTCAAAATGCAGCAACTCTGTATAGGTGCCATAGTCACAAGCTCGTCATGGGGTGTTTGAAAAATTGAATTGATTTGGTGCATTCTTACACATATATTGGTTCACAAACGTAAAAAAATCATATTTTTAAATTTGTTAAATAAAGTGGTGGTAGATACCATTTTGCTACCCCTATTTGGTAAAAAGCGAGAAAGCAGGGAAAAAAAAAGAGGAAAATAGGGAGAAAGCGGATAAAGAATGAGAGACAAAAGAGACTTTGGAAAAAAGCGAGAAAGTTGGGTAAAAGGCTAGGGAAAGGCGACAAGTTGAAGATAAAAAAGGGAGAGAAAGAAGCGGCTCGATAATATTAGTTGAGACATTCAGTAGGAGACATATTTCTCCACAATTAAGCATTTATTTTACTTAACTCCATAGAGTAGTTTTCTAACAGCTTCCAAAATGCATAATGAACTTTACAAAAACCAATGAAAACATGTTGGAGAGTTTTTGAAAAAATTAATGGCCTGATATTTTTATTTCTCTTTCTTTTATTACACATTTCTCTAAATTTTGGAGTGTAGTTTTCACATTTCCATTTCTATTGTGCTTACAAGCCAAGTTTGATGTGTTCTTACTAAGTCAAGGGCAATAACTCCGAAACTGTTCATTCAATTCTTACCAATTTCAAACGTGACCACAATCTTATCAATATATACATGCGTATCAAGTTTCGTCAAGATCGATTAAAAACTATGATAGTCTCTATCGTGCCTACAAGCCAAATTTGATACAGGGACAATAACAACAAATCCCTTCATCTGATTGTTACCAAATTTGAACTTAACCGAAATTTCAATAATAAATATAAAAGCATACCAAGTTTCCTTTTTAATAGCCTATATCCAAAAAACTAACAGAAACATACATGTGTACAGGTCAGGAAAAAAAATATGGAGATTTGCCTTGAAAAATCTGGAGATTGGGTGAAAAGTCTGGAGATTTTTCCAAAGCGCGTGATTTGAAACTCCAAATTGATTGTTTTTTTCTTTTTTTTTTTCAAATAAACTTTAAGCCTTGTAAATTAATTAAATTGATCATAGGCCTATATGACAGTTAAAATTAACAATCTATAATTATGGATAATTCTAGAAATAGTGCCTGATATTTCAAATTTAGGGGCCCAAAAAAAAATTGGTATTATCATTCTTCAGTATTGATTGAATCAAAAATAATGTCAAGGTGAAATGATGTTTGAAAACAAGAAAGCAAGCATGATCCCAGCCCTCTAAATTAAATGGTACCGGTAGGCCTACATCATACATGTACCATATTAAAAATCAGTATGTTCTGAAATCAATATTTAGTAAATAAACATTGTTGTGACAATGGGATTTGCGTGAACATTATCGTGAGATCTCGTTCTCGTGTGATTTCTTCATTCAGTTTAGAATTCGCGCAGGAAGATATCGCTTTGCTTGAGGATTATTCCGATTGTTTCTCCCATTCTGAATTCTATCGCTGTCCATCCGGTTGCTTACCTATTGCATTTATTTTCGAGTGATTCAAGATAGCAGATGAGTATAGCTTAGCTTAGCTGCCTGTTACATTCATTATTTTGTACTTTCTTTTTCGTTTCGCTTTCTCTCACTCACAGCTTTTTTTTTTTTTTTTTTTTTTTTATAAGCAATGGCCGCCACACCTCTCTCTACTTCACTGCATAGTGCTTTGTTTCGATCTGACAGAGAACCTTTGGAATTTATTCTGGTCGCTTCGCCTGTAAAAGTGTGTTTATTTGGTTCTAGCTATGTCAAGCGTTTGAATGCTTACCTTCAATCAACTAGCAAGGTTAATTTGGGTTTGGATCCTCGACTATGTTCCGTCTCGTGTTTAGGATACGGAGGTCTTTGTGTGCTCAGCGATCGCCATGGTCGTCTCGATCGTGATCACAGTTTACATTTTGCAGGTTGTGATATTATCATGATTCATCTAGGATCGAATGATTTGGCGTGAACATTGAACCTGCACTCGTTGCTCAGGCTGTAGTTGATTTTGCATCTTCTATTTTGATTAATTTTGGATGCAGTTGTGTTATTATTTCTGCTCTTTTACCTAGACTTGCACAGCCTTATGAGACACAAATAGAATAATTTTGGATTTATGCCGGTCCAACCCTTAACTGTTCTTGTGGAAACATAAATTGGGTTTGTCTAATCCCTATAAGTTTGTTGGGCAATATGTCTCTGATGGAGTGCATTTATCAAATACGGTTGGCAACCCTCTCTTCCTTCGCAGCATAAGAGATGCAGTTTTACGCCACATTCGGTGGTTCTGCTTATCACAGGTGATGCTCTGCCTTTTACACTTTTGCCTTTGCTAGGCGCTTTTAAAGCCCTTCATTTTTGGGGCGCTTTCTCAGCTTGCCTTTTTGCCTGTTATGATGGGCGCCGCCTCTTTAGCCACTTTGCCTGTTATGCTAGGCGCTTATGTTAGCTAGCTACTTAGCCCTTCAGCTGGGCGCTTGTTACCTGCCCTTTTGCTGGGCGCTTTGCTATTTTTTGAGTGTAACTTTCTGAGTAAATTTCCTTTTGCAGGATGCCTAAGCGAAATCGTTCGTTTGCGGATGAGGATGAAGTTGATATTGTTCCGACGACAGCTGAGGACAGGTTGACTAATATTATGCTCCAAAAAATGCTTAGACGTGGGCTGTTATTAAATACTGTTGCTTCTTCCACCAGTCAGTCTCCTACATCAGCTGCTAATTCTTCCACTGTTCAGTATACCTTGACAACTACATTTCAAACAACTCAAGCTTCACCCAGTACCAGTCAGATTTTTCCTGAGGCTATGGAAATGGTAACCTCTGTTGAGTCAATACCTGTCAATAGTAAAGTTTTGCATTCGTCTGTGGCAGAAACAGTGACTGTAACAAACAGTCTCGACCCATCTCTTAGATTTTCAGTGCCTAGTGTGAATAACTTAACATCAAGAATTAATCTTGTACTGGTGGGTAATGTGCCTCATAGTAGTCAGCAATCTAATGTTTTTAGTGTCAATGCGGCACAACTTTTTGGTTCAGGTATGCTACCTCATGTACCCTTGTACCCTAATGAGGGTATCAACATCTCTTGTCATGTTTCTGATAAGTTGAAACATGACATTTGGTCAAATAAATTTGTGGATATGTCGCACCTGCTCCCAGGGGGAGTGTCAAGTCAGTTGTCAATTGATATTTCGGAAGTAGATAACGAGCCAATTTTCAAAATCTCCTCTGCTCCCGAATCTGAAGCTCTGTCTTTCGAATTGTGGAGAAAGGCTTTTCTTATTTATATTGATATTTTGGTGCAGAAATCCCCAGAATTGATTTCGGCTTTGCTAGCGTACAACTCTTTTGTAACTGATTTGGCTCTCGGCTACGGAGCGGCAGCTTTTAATACTATGATACACAGTTTCGCACCATCCGCCAAGCAGTTCCTTATCCTTGGAATCATATTGACTCAAATCTTTGGCTTCAGGCCACTACGTTGTATAAAACTGCTGTCAAATCACCAAAACCGTTCTCTAGTCAGTCTGGTTCCAGGGGTACTGTTTGTTTGGCTTATAATGGTCGTAAAGGCTGCACTTGGCAAAACTGTCGGTATATGCATGTATGTTCTAAATGTGGGTTCAATCATGCAGCTATTAATTGTTTTGCTAAACGTACTCGACAACAATCTCAACCTCAATCTCCTCAGGTTGATAATAAAGCGGTGGCTGCCGATTCACAGTCTATTTAATGTACCAGTAGTCGGTACTGGCTCCGCTCCACAGCAGACCAATTCGCGTTATTCATTTCGCCGCGGTGGTACTAATGCCGCACAAAGTACCAACTCCAATCCATCCAAGTAGACTTTGCCATGTTTTGTCTGGGTATAATCAGATTGAACGCGAATTTTTGTTTCAAGGATTTTCTTCGGGTTTCCGAATTCCCTTTCAGGGTGAAAGGTCTCTTTCGATCTTTCGCAATCATAAATCATGTAGAAAAAATTCAGATGTGCTTTTTGATAAAATGAATAGCGAGCTCCGTTAAGGTCGCATTTTATGCCCCTGTTCAAAGGCGGACATTCAAGATGCTTATAGACTTTTACCTATTCATCCCGATGACTGCCCGCTATTGGGTTTTACTGTTCCCTTAAATGATGACATTTTTTACTTTGTAGATATGTGTCTGCCCATGGGCTTGAGTATGAGTTGTCAAACGTTTGAAAGATTCAGTTCGGCTCTTCATTGGGTTATGGAAACAAAATTTAACGCCAGAGTCAGTCATTTGATTGACGATTTCTTTTTTGCAGGGCCAGCTGATTCTGACAAATGTTTGACATCTCTACACTCCTTTTTTAGCTTTGGCTGATTATTTGGGCATTCCTATAAAAGCTTCAAAAACTGTTCTCCCAGTTACTACTTTAACCATTTATGGCATTGAGGTTGATTCTTTAACAATGGAATTACGCCTTCCTCAAGACAAAGTTATTAAGATTCGGAGAGCAATTGATGGTTTATTGTTACGCAGGAAGGTTACACTCAGGGAACTTCAATCTGTATTAGGTTTATTAAATTTTGCTACTTTAGTTGTGATTCCTGGTCGTACCTTCCTTCGTCGCCTTTATGATTTAACAATTAATGTTGCAAAACCTCACTATAAGATTCGTATCACTAATTCTGCAAGGTTAGATTTACATATTTGGAGTCAATTTATTAATAATTTCAATGGTTGTTGCATGTTCTTGCATGATGAGTGGGTTTCTGCTGATGCTTTGGCGTTATACACTGATGCAGCAGGCTCTAAGGGCTATGCTGCAGTTTTAGGATCTCATTGGTTTGTGGGTCAATGGGCTCAGGATCTTTCTGTCAGCATTGACGTTTTAGAATTGTTTCCCATTGTGGCAGCCTTGAGCATTGGGGTCCTTTATTGCAAAATCACAAGATTGTTCTGTTTACTGACAATGTATGTGATTAACAAAGCTACTTCTAAAAGTACTGCTCTCATGTCTTTGTTGCGTCGTTTAGTGGTCACTTTTTTAAAATTTAATATTTTAGTTCGCAGTAGACACATGCCTGGCTTCTCAAATATTGTGGCTGATTCTTTATCTCGCTTTATGTTTCAGCGTGTCAGAGAATATGCTCCTTGGCTGGACCAGACTCCACAAAATCTCAAACCAGAAATTTTGAAGCTCTGAAAATGACAGCACAATTTTTGATGAGTCAGGCTTTAGCACCTTTAGCAGGGTGTCTTATTTACGTTGTTGGAACAAGTTCCTTCACTTTTGTACTCTCTATTCTTTAGCTCCATCTTTTCCCATACCTTCATCAATTTTAGTTACCTATCTTGCTTATTTGTTTCAGTCAGGATTTTCACCTAGCTATATTGCATCGAATATGTCAGTTCTATCCTTTGTACAAAAGTCACATGGTTATTCAGAAGTACATTCATTTGTAACTAACTTGATTTTAAAGGGCATTCGCAAACTCAACGTTCCTTTTGAAAATCGTTTACCTATAACTTTACCTATTTTAATTCGCATTTTAAAAGCCATTCCTTTAGTTGTACCTGTTTTGTTTGATAGATATTTACTTTGCGCTTTATTTTCTGTGGCCTTTGCTGGCTTTTTCAGATTAGGTGAATTAGTAGTGAAATCTAGTTTTAATGCTAAATTTGTGTTACAAGTTTCAGATGTAAGTTTTATATTTCAAGCAAATGTTATTCAGAGAGTTGAATTGTCTCTTCGTTTTTACAAGCATAAAACTACCCCTCTCCCGGTGAAATTGTTGTTGCATTGCTCTTGTTCTGTTTCTTCCGTTGCTTGTGCACCTTGCCTCTTGTATTCTTATTTGAAATTTTTCCCTCATTCTGAGGGTCCCCTTTTCCAATCTAATCATCATTCTCCTATTTTGTACTCTTATTTGAATCACAAATTAGCTTCACTAATCACATTTTTAGGATTAGATCAGACTAAATATAAACTTCATTCATTTCGGATTGGAGCTGCAACATCGGCTATTATGCAAGGACATTCGGAGGAGGCAGTTCGTCGCATGGGTCGATGGAAGAGCAATGCCTTTCAAAATTATATCAGGTTGCCTTGTTTAACCTCGTCAATGCATTAGATTTTTTTTTTTGATACACACTTTTGTTAAGTAGTGTGTTTCACTTTGAATTTGGTTTTCTTTTGTGTATTATTTTAATGTTTCCTGGTTATGAAAGAATTTGCCGTTGGAGAAAGTAGTTCTTATCGGTGCTTTCTTTCTGCGCTTGGTTGTTAGTCTTTAATGTGTGGAGGAGGTTGTTGGGCCCGGAATTTAAGCGTATTGATCATTGTATGTTCTATACGCTTCAATTCGTTTGGCTGATTTCTTTGTTTGTTAAGCCCAACAATATTTTGTATTTTATATTATATATGTTGTCATTTATTGTTATCAATAATAAATGATATTTACCTCCACACAATTTGTTTCGTACATAGGGGGGAGAAGGGTGAACGCAAATAAACATTGTTGTGACAATGGGATTTGCATGAACATTATCGCGAGATCTCGTTCTCGTGTGATTTCTTCATTCAGTTTAGAATTCGCGCGGGAAGATATCGCTTTGCTTGAGGATTACCCTCCTCCACCCCGTTTCTATTCCATCCATGGCTGATTTCTTTGTTTGTTAAGCCCAACAATATTTTGTATTTTATATTATATATGTTGTCATTTATTGTTATCAATAATAAATGATATTTACCTCCACACAATTTGTTTCGTACATAGGGGGGAGGAGGGTGAATGCAAATAATATGTACTGGCAATGTTACTTTTTCTAAAGGTGTAATTCATGACATCTTAAATATCTCCATTCCGATCATTCAATACTTTTCTTGCAACACTCTCACGAAGTATTGAACTGAATTTTCCACTTCCATTTTGACGTTCTTCAGAATGGAAAGACTAGTAATAAGTAAGCCCGTTATGCAGGCAATCAAATGAATGTTTACAGGCTACAGTAAAATTTCAAAACGATTTTATGAAACGAAGTTTGAGTTTATATAAGAATTAGACATCCAGTCGCGTATGATAATCTACCGATAATGAAAAATGATTCTGAAACGACGTCTATGTTATATACGCCTATTATAGACCGCAGATTGACACTGACGGTATAAAATACTGAGAAGACTTCAAGATTTCGTTTTTTAGTAAAAGTAGGGCTAATGTAAAATTTATTATAAAAGCGAAAGTAGAATGTACCGGATGTTGTTAAAAAAAGTGTGTCATGTGGGCTTAAAATACACATTATCGGGTGAAAATAGATCAAATTACCATCTTAATTAGGGGATTAATTAATCAGGCAATGATAATATTATTACGTGATGAGATTAACATGTGTTACCGGCAATTAAGATACACGTGATGATAGATATTTTGTTGATTTATGGTAGAGAATTTGAACATTGAAAACAGTAGGTCCCGTGAAAATTTGATCAGGAAAAAAAAACAAAAATCTTTAGAATCGGGTATCCCGCCGGTAGAGCGGTAGACAACATCCAAAAGCGGTAGAAACCCGACAACATCGGTAGATTACACATGTATGAACAGAAAGCAATTGTTAATATTGCAAAAAATAACAAGTGATTGCCTAGCCAGATATGCCCACTTTCCTTATACATTTTCACTAATGATATATATCTATTTATTAGTAATCTTAGATTTCTTTGAAAAAGTCAGATTCCAAAAGCACTGGTCTTAAAATAGTACAGCCTCTCACAAAAAAGGCAATGGTCAATTCTGATAGACCAATGGTCAGTGAGGTCAAGTAGGTTTATTTTTAATGACCAGGTATATTTTATACCATTTCTTGGAATCTTTTGCATTTTTTAGGAATCTAAGATTGCCGGACCAAACATAGATTTAGGGGGTTGGTATATATACATTTTGTTAGAGAAAATGGTCAGATTAGATTTTGGCTTTTAGGAGTTCAGACGTGTGTATCCTGAGGTTAACCCTGATGTATTATGTTGTATGATGTTAGATGTACCGTATATTTCCGAATATAATGCGCAGTTTTTTACCGAAAAATGGGCCCCTTACAGAGGGGGTGCGCACTATACACAGTGAAATAAATTTTGAGTTTTTTTCCCCTTCGAAAATACCGCCAATCGATGTTGAGGATCCGCCAGTTTGTCTTCCTTCAATGACATGTTGTTATGTTTTTAAGATCATTTCAGTATTTATAACAACTCATTAGACTTTAATGTATTTTGTAAATAGTTTGTATTAATATATTTGAAATTTCTAAACTGAAATAGGTATATTAATGTGTTATTTTAATGCAATTCATTCCATACAGAGAGACGTTCTACGGCTGTTACAAAATATTATCAAGTATTGTATGAATTTGAGTAGCTTACCAGATATACAGGGTTTTAATATTATCCTTCGTTTTCGCAAATTATTCATCACAATACACATGGCAAATGAGAAACAAATATTTTTAATACTCTCACAATAGCTTACAGAATCCATGTGGTATTTTCGTGCCTATATAATTGAGAGTGCCATTTCATGGTAGTTACGTATTAGACTAGCCTGAACTATTCTTATGTGTACGAACTGTACTTGTTGAATTACCTCCCCCTGCACGTGCATGTAACCGCCATCTTTACAATACAATATCTAACATCATTGATTCCCTTTAAGTGTGCCAGATTACTGACTGGCGTGGTGGCAGCAGCTGGGATTTCAGTTACCAAGTACAGAACTGATTCAAAAGTTCAACAAAAACTTTATTAAAATAACCTGTTAGTGATTTTGCCAACGCGAAGACTGGTTGTTCGAGCGTTACACACTTCTGCCGATAACAACTCGGAAAGGGTAGCAGTTAAACAACTACTGATCTCAACTCTTCAGATCCTGCAGATAAGTATGGCTAGTACTTGAGCCCCCAAACAATGGTCTTTGACGAAAAACGAGACCATAACATCGTTTAAAGCTTGGCGGCAGAATTTGCAGTATATTCTATCCCTTGATCCAAATTTTGCCGATTTTTTATTAGACGGTGTGACATGGCTGAAGAAGTCTTCCACAACCCCCCTACGAGGTTTAGCTAATGACGGAGAACGAGTAGATCAGGAACGCAGGAGAACTGCCCAGCAGAAAGTCACACATTTAGACCTGATGCTGGGTCAAATTGCCAACTACTGTCCTATCATTTCATGCAATTCTATTGTGAAGAACTCCACCTCCATGTCGTCTATTTGGCAAGTTATATGATTGCATTATGGATTCCAATCAACAGGCTCCCACTTCTTAGATTTTAATACCATTGTACTTCAACCAGACGAACGCCCCGAAGACCTTTATCAAGGCCTCATGTCCTTCATAGAAGACAACCTCCTTTCTCAAAACGGACACATTAGCCATCATGGTATCGTACCTAGTGAGGATGAAGAATTGACACCTTCTTTAGAGAACATGGTCGTACTCACATGGATTAGATTAATCCACCCTGATTTACCTCAACTCGTTAAGCAGCGTTATGGGACGGAACTCCGCTCTACAACTCTTGCATCGCTAAAACCAGAGATATCCCTCGCTCTAGACTCTTTATTAGATGAGGTAAATTCTGCTGTCGAGTCTAAAGTATTTCGTACTGCGACAAGAGACCTACTCCGCCAAAACACTCACAAACCTTCCAGGACAATGACCAATGCTTCAATAACCAACAGCAAACTGTGTCCTTTGTGCAGTCAAGCCAACCGACCTAACAACAAACATTTCTTGAGTAAATGCCCCTACCTTCCAGTTAGTGACAAACGTTTTATGAACAAAGCCCGACAAGCTTCCTGCTTCCATGATGAGGGTATAGATGCTAATGATCCAACCCCAGAAGTAAATAGTCTAAAAATTTTAGCATGCCGTGTAAGCACCAACAGATCTCCCCACTTCAAGGCATTTTACTCACAATTTCCCCTGCAACTTACTTTAGATACAGGGGCAGAGATGAATATGATGAAAGCTTCCGTCGTACATTACGTAGGTGCCCCAATACAGAAGAGTATTCAACGAGCTTTACAGGCAGACGGTATCACCCCATTGAAGGTTGTAGGCGAAGTCCATTTACAGCTGAATCGTGGCGACCACAATTTGACCCTCGATGCTTTGGTTGTTGAAGATCTTGATGTAGACGTACTAGCAGGAACACCTTTTATGACCCAGAATGACATATCCGTTAGACCCGCCATGTGTCAAGTCATCATCAAGGACAACAATGTCATCCAATACGATTCTTCATCAAATACCACACATTCTTTGGCTGTTAGGCGCACCCAAGCCTATGTGTTACGTGCACCTTCGTTCTCTACCACTGTTTGGCCAGGAGATTATTGAGAACTAACACTACCAGGTGACCTTTACTCTGAGGAGATCTTAGCTTTAGAGGCCCGTTACGATACTGGGGCGCCGAAAATGTCAACCAAAATTTGGCCACAACCCAGCCTTACCGAACAAGTTGGAGGAAAAATTGGCATTGCTAATGATACCGATCAACCACAAACTCTCAAACACCATGAGCCCTTCTGTCAAGTAAGACGTGTCCAAACTATCACAGATACAGATAATCTTGCTTACCCACCGGCCAAACCAGTCCTGTCTGTAGTTTTGAAAGACACTACCTTTTTCTCTGATATAGTCAAATTAGATCCAGATCATATTCTACCACAGTCTGTTCGTAAAGATTTCCAATCGGTAATGCAAGAGTTTGATTCTGTTTTTGATCCTACAATAACAGGCTATAATGGATCCGTTGGTCCCTTTCAAGCCATCGTCAATATGGGATCTGTGGAACCCCCACAACCAAAAGGTAGAATCCCCCAGTACTCAAAAGATAAACTACAAGAGTTGCAAGATATTTTCGACCAACTGGAATCAGTAGGAGTATTCCGTAAACCCGAGGATTTGAACCTTACAGTCGAGTACCTAAACCCTTCATTCCTGGTCAAGAAGAGCTGTGGTGGATTTAGACTAGTCACCGTAGCAAGATACAGCAAGCCCCAACCATCACTCATGCCAGATGTTGATTCCATCCTACGCACCATCGCCTGCTGGCAGTATGTCATCGTTACGGATTTGACACAGGCATTTTACCAAATACCTCTTGCCCCTGGTTCTATGAAGTATTGCGGAGTATGCACCCCTTTCAGAGGTATTCGTGTTTATACCCGTACTGCTATGGGAATGCCAGGATCAGAGACTGCGCTCGAGGAACTCATGTGCAGAGTCCTCAGCGATCTATTGTACTCTAGCAAAGTTACAAAACTGGCTGATGATTTATATATCGGAGGTAACTCGCCAACAGAACTATTAGAAAACTTTCGTCTAACTATACAAACACTCAGCAAGTGTGATCTCAAATTAGCAGCCTCTAAGACAATTATTTGCCCCAAGTCAACCACCATCCTAGGCTGGATTTGGTCACAAGGATCAATTTCTGCAAGCCCTCATCGCATATCTACCTTATCGACGTCGCCTCCACCCGAAAACGTTCGAGGAATGCGCTCCTTCATTGGCGCCTACAAAGTACTTGCGACAAAATCTAGCAACAAAATCAGCTGGTCAGAAGACTTACATCATCATTTCTCAGCAGCCCAACAGTCACTTACAGACCATAAGAGCATCTTGTTACCCCGTCCAACGGATCAACTATGAATCGTAACTGTCTACCTAATACGCAACAACAAAACCTCCTTAGCTGGGTTTTTTAGTGCTAAGTTGAAGAAACATCAAATTACTTGGTTACCATGCGAGATTGAAGCCTTGTGTATTACTGCAGCTATTAAGCACTTCAGTCCTTATATAATCCAGTCTCACCACATGACGAATGTTTTAACTGACAGTAAGCCTTGTGTCCAAGCTGTTCTAAAATTATGCCGTGGTGAATTTTCCAATAGCCCCAGAGTCACATCCTTTTTGTCCATCGCAAGCCGACAAGTCAATCTTCTTCACCTAGCCGGAACATCCAATATTCCTTCAGATTTTGCCAGTCGTAATGCCACAGAATGTCACGAACCTAATTGTCAAATTTGCAATTTTATATCCCGCACAGAAGATTCCGTTGTACGTGCTACCACCGTACAGGATATTATCTCTGGCACCTGTCCTGTTCTGTTTGCAAGCCATTCAGCGTGTATCCAAACTCAATCCGAATGCCCAGATCTGCGTCGTACACACGCCCACCTTAAACAGGGAACACGACCATCTAAGAAGTTGACTAATATTCCCCATGTCAAACGATATCTTCGTAGTGTCACCATATCCAGAGATGGTTTCCTGGTTGTGAAAAACTTTGAACCATTTTGCCCTACATCTGAGTTAATTGTAGTTCCTAGACCCGTTTTAAGTGGACTTTTAACAGCAATGCATATCGAGTGTAATCACCCTTCAATTAATTAAAACTCGTTGTGAAACGCCGTTTCTACGCCCTGGATCTCGAAAAATCTATTAGTGACATAACTGATAACTGCCATGTGTGTTCGTCACTTAAGAAACTTCCACAGCCAGTAGCTGAACAGTCCACACAACCATCACCACAATCTATTGGAATCTCATTTGCTGCTGATGTATTGAAATGTTGCAAGCAACTCATTTTCCTTCTACGTGAAACAGCCTCTTCCTATACTGTATGTTGCCTCGTAGACGATTAGCGTTCTACAACGTTGCGTAATGCTCTGGCTCGACTTTGTCTTGAAATGCGCCCAATTACTGGTCCTCCTGTAGTTGTTCGTGTGGATCCAGCGCCTGGTTTCGTAGCTCTTCCTGAAGCTTTGCTTCAACTCGGAATTACTTCAGACATGGGTCGAATAAAGAATCCTAATAAGAATCCGGTCGCAGAAAAAGCTATTGCTGAATTGATAGATGAAATTGTACGATATCAACCAGAAGGAGGATCGGTCACACCTCTTGGCTTATCCATCGTTACGTCCAATTTAAATTCACGTCTCAGAAATAGAGGCCTTTTTTCTCGCGAGATATGGACTCAGCGCTGCCAGTTTGATAACACCCAGTTACCAATTTGTGACCGTGATCTGATTCTACAACAGCATCAATCTCGTATTAGAAACCATCCTTACAGTCAGTCATCCAAGACCCAAGTCAAGACCCCAAGTCGACAGTCTCATCTATCAAAACCATCTCCATCAGTTAGCGATCTTGTTTATTTAACCACCGATAGGGACAAAACTCGTGGTAGAAGTCGATATCTCGTAACAAACATTGATAAGGGATGGTGGTTTTTCTGAAAGTTTACCGGAAACCAACTCCGGTCTTTGCCTTATAAAGTGAAACCCTCAGAGTGTATTCCGATAACGAACTTTTACTCTGATATGACTATCAGTCCACAAGAGGTCTCGTTAAGCAACGACGAAGTTTGTATTATTCCCCTATCGTCTCCACCTGATGAGTCATTACATGTCCCAACTCCACACTCACCCCAGATTCCTGATGTCATTGCAGAGCCAACATCGGAAAACAACATGCAAAGTATCAACTATAATCCAGATCCTGCTGTTCCTGCAGACTTACCAATCAACAGTCCCGTTACAACAGTCGATCCTGCGCCACAACGTCCACACCGTGTACACAAGAAACCAAGCTACTTACAAGACTATAATTGTGAATGATTACCTTATTTGTGAATATTCAGACTAGTAGTGATTTTAAAGATTAAGAGGCCTCGCCATTTCATGGTAGTTACGTATTAGACTAGAATGAACTATTCTTATGTGTACGAACTGTACTTGTTGAATTAACTCCACCTGCACGTGCATGTAAATTCATTCGTATTATTATTGTCATACTGTAAAACCGCCATCTTTACAATACAATATCTAACATCATTGATTGAAGAGTTTTCCCTTTAAGTGTGCCTGATTACTGACTGGCGGAGGGAAAAAAGTTCTGAACACAGAATTGAGGACAGCAGTAGAGTTTTTGTAAATCTATTATTCACAGTAATCCAAAGCTACTTGATTAAACTTATTATAAGATTAGGTGACTAAAAACAACAAGATTGAGTTAATTTGTAACACCACTGATTAATTTTATGAGTACATTCTGAATGGAAACAAGAGGCATTGATATCAAAGAAAGATCAAAGAATACTATAAACACCTGTTGTCCATGTGATCAGTGAATGTTGAATTGGGTGGATCACAGGCACTTGTTTCTATCCATGTTAAGTTCTACTGTAATATGTGTAGGGATAACAGACATTGCCATTGAGTATCAATGAGGTGTCTGCGTTATGCCATCTCCAACCTCATTTTCGTCAACAAGGGGTGCGCATTATATACGGGTATATGGATTTTTCCAGATTTTGATTGGGTGAGGAAGGGGTGTGCATTATACACGCTTGCCCATTATATTCGGAAATACATAGATGTTTTATGATATAACACATTGAGTAGAACTTTCTAGAAAATAGGCTCTATATAAATGCATTATTATCATATAATGAAAGAAATATCAACTTTACAATATGATGATATAAAGTAAACATCATTATTACATTCAGTATATCCAGGGCGGTCATCTATCTGTGTCAAATCATACCAAAAATCTAATTTGTGCAAGATATTGTTGATTTAATCGAACACACAAAATTTAATAAAATTCGGACATAAACTGTAACCTCTATCAAGGTGTTTTTGTAAATCAAGGGCAATGACTCTTGCCTAGCAAGATACGCCCACTTTCCCGGATACATTTTCAGTATATCAAGTCAAGTCGAACCAAAAATCTAATTTGTGCAAGATTCTGTTCATTTAAACCAAAACAAAATTTAATAAAATTCTGACATAAACTGTCACGTCTAATGCGTTCACAAGCCAACAAATTCTGATGTGTTTTTACTAATAAAAATGAAAGGTTAACCCTTAAAACCCTGAAAATATTTGACATCCTGCATACCCCTTCCTGACTTTACAGGACGTCATTGCCAAAATAATCATCTTATAATGTATTATCAACTGTGTGAAGATATAAAATAAAGAAGTTTTAACAATTAAATAATTAAAAATACAATAAATACATGCCCTAATTTCATTTATCTCCAATACATAACTTCTGAATGAAAATCATGCCAACAATTCGACCCAGGTTGACCAATGCACAAGAAAACACAACGAAATACACAGTTCTGGACTTCTTAGGCATTAGGGTTACACAATCTGGCCCTTCTATATTTTTCTGTACAAACAACACACCTATTATTAATTGTAGCATGTTCAGCCTTTTCACACTCATGCTACCTGACATCAGTAAGATGAACTTCCTGATCCTCATAGGAACGACGTCAACCTCTTTGAGTTGTATTTCGTACATCTCCATCGAGTTGGTTGCACAATTTCTCCAGGAAGAAATGGAATGTAAAAGATCTATGAGAAGGTTGTGCATGCTCTTAATAATATCCTTGAATAACATAAGCATTATACGCAGCCCACATAAAAAACTTCATTACCACTTTTGGAGGCACGTCATTTAGTCGTTCTTGTCTGTTTGTCCTATAAACTTATCATAACTCTTCACAGCCATGGGACACTGAATTGGAATTCTTCTGTGTTCTTTTGAATCAAATCTTGGAACTGTAGATAGTGGCTGGTCAATGTAAACAGATGAAACAAAATTAATAGGCCTTTTGTCCATCCAGACAATTGCAGACACCTTTCCATTGAACAGAATTTCACAATCACCCTTTTGCATTTGTTTGTTAGTTTGCTTTAGACACTTTGGAAACTCTTTTCTATTTGTCATAGCTCTCCAACACAAACCAATTCTCTTTGTCAACAAATATTCTGCTAATTCAACCGATGTATAAAATCTATCAGTAAACAATACGTAGTTCTGGTCTTGGAAATTATGAGTCATTCTCGCAACTAAATTGCCTGTAACTCCTTAATTGTCAACTGTCAAGGCATCTGCTCTTTTATCGGTATAAACTTCAGCATTCATAATATATCCATGTTCACTGTCTGTCAACACAAATTTTTTTATCCTCCACTTTATCGGTTTATCTTTTATATATTGTTTTTTAAATAATGAGTTTTTTGTTGGGATCATGCCCTCGTCTAAAGATAATTCACAACCTGCAACAAAGTGATACGCCCACCACGGCATGCGGATAGTAAATATTCAAGATTTTGAGGCAAGGGCAATAACTCTGCTTCTAACAGTCGATAATAGCTCAAATTCGAACTTGATCTTCATTTTATGAATATGTATACACATACTGAATTTCATTTGATTCCATCAAAAAATCTAGTTTTAAGAGCGATTACAAGCAAATGTTGACGGACAGACAGGGGTGCCGACAATATACGTCCACATAGAGTGATGTGGGCGTATAAAAATAGGCCTAGAATTGTAAATTTTGTTTATTTTATCCACAGCTGGGTCAAGTTCATTTACACAATGCAGCATAGACCATATGGCTCATAACCTTTGGAAATCCTGGAGTAGCCGTATGAAAGTTATCCTTTGTTTTCCAGTATTGTTCAAATCGTTCCTTGTGAATAAGGGATTCAATGGCAATCCTACATCCAAAAAAGGCTTTCATCTCACTTACTGTTGTATCTGTCCAACTTCTAACACTATAATTATCTGGCTTCATTACATTGACATATAGCAGTTTGTCGGTTTGTTTCAGACATCAAAAGTTCCCATAACTGATCATTCCAAAAGATAGAAAAAAAATCCAATGGGGTACTATCAACATTTATATTAGCAGGAATGTTCTTGAGTCCTGTATGTCCATTTGGCCTGAATTGAATTGTTGTGCAACAAATCCAATCGTATTTAATCTCTATGTTGGTGGAATATTCATATCACCCGCCATGTCTGGATACCTAACATCTCTGTCATTTTCTTCAATGTTTACATTTGGATCAACATCTTCCACGTCGGAATTATCATCACATTTGCTCTCAAAGTCACTTTCATTGCTGTAATCTGATCCATCCATATCCTCCTCATTGTCGCTCATAATCATAGCAAGTGCCTCCGTTGGACATAGTCATTTAGATGTCAAAGAAGAAATTAATGATAGGACATCGCCATAACTTGTTGACAGAAAACAAGCGACGAGAGTTTGGTTTGTTGCTATGAGGGACTAAGTCTAATCGACCCGACCGAAAGCAGCAAAACCGACATTTCGGGACTACTTACCATTACGTCAAGCCAGTTTTGCGGCATTTCAGGGTCTAATTGTTAAATTTATTTTTTTACGATACCATAAAATCATACAAAATACAAATAGTTATAAGTCAGCTCTGATATTTATATTTTTTACCTTGGTAGTTAAGTCATCAGTATCTATTTCAGATGTATCCTCTATCTCACAGGTTGGTACATGTACTTTGCCAATATGTAATTCTGGATGTGCATCAGTATCCTGGCCTTCAACATTGATAACTGGTGGTGTTATTATTACTGTATCTGTAATTGATTACATTAAAACATTTATTCTTCATTTACTGTAGCTTTAAAATAATAAAAATAAATCATGTTCAGAAATAGTTGTGTTCATCAAACTATTCAATAACCTTTTTATTAGAGCAATTGGCTATAAAATTGAGTATAAATAACAGCATTACCCTCATTTTATCCACATAGCCAATGCAGCCAATTTTCATTGACAGGTGTCAATGTGTCAAAAGTGAGCGGTAAGGTTATAAAAAGTGAAATGGAAAAAATAACTAAAACTGATAGACTGTATGAATTCACTGACAGATCTAGTATAACGTGTGGTGAGAATACTTTAAAAAAAAAAGTCATATGTCTGTGAGGCAAATTTATATGTGAACACTGAATGTGGAGGATTTCTGTAAATATACTACAGTCAAGTAACCTAATTTTGTGGAAACCTATTATTCGTGGATTTCCGGAAATGTTCAATAATTTACATGAGCGACCTTACGCAACCTCCGCATTAGTTTGTTTTGATAAACATGGGTTTTTTCTACAATGTCAGCTAGTAGAATGAATTCAGTAGTTTCAATCAAGGTAAAATGTACTAATGTATACTTTGACAAATACAAAATGGCGGATTTCAGTTATTACCAAACGTCACCATATTTTATCGGCCGAATTTCCTTATAATCCCAAGCAGTAATCGGAATTCCAAGTGTCGTCTGCTAGAGTGTAGTCCAACGAATGAAGTCACGTGATCAACTAGCGGATTCCATGTCCGCAGAAAATTTCTATGGAACACAAAGTGGACCATATTCTTATGTTGTTTCGGTGACTTTTAGCAATAAATCACGCTACGTATTTTGTCAGTCACTATTTTTGTTATAAATCACGGTTCTTTGAAGGAATTGTCACAAGTTATAATGAATTGATATTAAAGATAAATACTAAGAGAAGTTAATTATACCAGCCGGTATCCATACAACGTGTTTTTCTAGACTTATTTATAGATCAAACATTGTACACGAAAATAGGTGAGGCATTCTGCCGCCGTTGCCGAGTTGGTTGCTCATGAAATATGGGTCAAAGTAAAGGATTCATAAAGAAAATCTAAATAAACCAATTTTAATTATTTTGTAGAATATCTGAGGAAACATCTAAGACTTAAAAGTTTTTTTTCGTTTTTTCAACTTTGACGAAATTTGGTGTTGAATCCTTATATCCACGAAAATAGGTTACACCACTGTATATATTATTTCATGTGTATTGTTAGTCACTAGGTTAGGAGCCAGTCAGACTCATTGACTTGAGATAGATAATTGGGTTATGGATATTTAATAAACAGGAACATTTGCTTGTCTGTTTTGTCATTGTAATTTGTAAGTTATTTCAATGTTACTAAACGTATTGAAATTTAGCTTCAACACTAGACTGCTGATGAGCATTGTGGAAGGGCCGGTTGGCAACAGAAGAGAGTTCAGTGCCAGAGTATGGAACACTGAGATCATTGTTGGATTAGAATCAACAGGTGTTACAAACAAGCCAATCATGATTTTTTTTCCTGACCTGTACACATGTATGACCACAGGTTTCACATTGTTCCAGTTGTGTTCTGTGACTGTTCAGTGAGTCATTCCATCCCTCCTGCTACACAGCAAAGCAATTCAAATGAATAACCAAGACTTTACTTTATCCACTCTGGACAAAATTTCTCAAGTTCTATCATATATAAAATTCCAAATGCAGTTGAATCTGCAGATAAAAATTTAAGTCATGGACTTTCGTAAATCAAATAAGAACTTAAACATAAAAGCCCTTTTCTCATGAGATTATAAATTTATACCAACTCATGAGATAAATCAAGGGAAAAAAGGCTTTAAGGATGTAACATCGATTATTGAAATCACAATATGAAGGTTTACTTGCCCTGGAGAAAAACCATGTTCATTTAACCAATGATCACAATCAAACACAAAATGTAGCTATAGGGATTTTAGGTTGTAACATTGCAGTATTTCTTAAACTAAAGCTTCTGAAGCTCAGAAAATAACTTTCTTCAGTAAAGTTGTTGCCTTGTTGCAGGTTTGGTTTTGAACGTACAGATGAATGATGAGCAATGTACAGATGAATGATGAGCAACCAACTACCAAACAAGGCAGACCATCAACTCAACCACCTCTACAAAGGCTTAACATATACCTGATAAGTTTGTGTCAAAAAATGCATAGTTTGAAAGTAAAGTTGTAAGACATGTGTATCCAACCTGCATTTCATCCAGCTCCATGTTTTGGGTCATATCACACTCAGGTTATGAATGAAATGTAAACTGTATTGTATTTAATTGAGGTTTTTCCATATGGAATGTTATTATTAATTAAATTTGTATGTTCTATATCATTATGTTGTAATTTATACCTTACATGATATGCATTATGATATGATTGCAGATAAACCATACATGTGTACAGATCAGGAAAAAAAATCTGGAGATTTGCCTTGAAATATCTGGAGATTTGCCTTGAAATATCTGGAGATTTGGTGAAAAGTCGGGAGATTTTTCCAAAACGCGTAAAGTCATGATTTTGAAACTCAAATAAATAAGCCTTAAACCTTGTAAATTAATTAAATTGATCATAGGCTTACATGACATAGTGAACTAAATTAAAATGAACAAATGTATAATTGAGAGAGGCCTACCCAGAGAAATAATTCTAGAACTATTGTCTGATATTTCAAGTTTAGGGGCCCAAAAAAATTCAATATTATCGTTCTTCGGTAATGATTAAATCAAAAATAATGTCAAGGTGAAATGATGTGAAGTGAAAACAAGAAAGCATGCATGATCCCATTCCCAGCCCTCTTAATTAGTTACCGGTAGGCCTACATCATACATGTAATATTATATTACAAGATAGCTTGCCAGGCAAGGTAATATACGCCCACTGGCAGCTTTGATTTCAAATAAGAATATTTGGCCGTACCTATATGAACATTTCACATTTCTTCCTCGTATATTTCATTTATGATTATGAATGTGATTAAGAGAAGACCAGCATACATCTTATTAATTAATGATAACAAACACTCACATCATGTCAAAAGCCATTAAAATAATGCCTTCAACTGAGTACTAACAATCTAAAATTTGAACCTGTTTTCAAGTACAAGGGCAATAACTCATACTAAAACAATTTCAGATTATTTTGGTTTTCAATAGGCCTCATCCTTGAGTGATTACCAGTATTAATCACACCAAGTTTCATAAAAATCCATCAAGAATTGTGTCTTTTAGAGTTTTAGGAGCTAAATTTGAACGCGTTTTCAAAAACAATGGCAATAACTCTTTCTTAATATTTTTGTCCTTTTCTGATTTTCGATAAGGTTTATCCTTGGGTTATACAAATACTCAAACCAAGTTTCATCAAAATCGGTCAATAATTGTGACTTCTTGAGTGTTTATGAGCTAATCAAGAACAAGGTAAATAACTCATACTTAATATTTTTCTGATTTTCAATTGAGTTTGTCCTTGGGTGTTCACAAACGCTCACACCAAGTTTCGTCAAAATCAGTTAAGAATTGTGCGATGTAGAGTGTTTACGAGCAATTGTGGATGGATGGACCGAGAGACGGACCGACCAGCGGACATGGGTGACGGCAATATACGCTCCACATTTCATGTTGGCGTACAAAAAGGCAAGAATAAAAGATTTCAGGAGGTTTTGTCAAAATACCGTAAAGAATTGTGAAATATACGCCCACTGGCAGCTTGATTTTGAACAAAAATATTTAGCAGTACAGTAACAATCACCAGTATGAAATATTCAACCTTAAGTCATACACTTCTTTTGAACTCTTTAGGGCGTTACTGAATAATATTGAGTATGAGTTATTGCCCTTGTTCTTGAAAACGTGTTCAATCTTTAGCTCGTGAAAACTCTAGAAGACAAATATTCAATCTTCAGCGCGGTACTGAATAATAAAACCAAGTTTTGTCAAAGTCAAAAATCATGCCTTCTAGAGTTTTTACGAGCTACAAATTGAACGAGTTTTCAAGAACAAGGGCAGTAACTCATACTCAATATTTTTCGATTCTCCTGATTTTCAATAGGCTTTATCCTTGAGTGATTACAAACACTCACACCAAGTTTCGTCAAAATCCATCAAGAATTTTGCCTTCTAGAGTGTTTAAAAGCTAAAATTGAACACGTTTTCAAGAACAAGGGCAATAACTCATACTAATCGATCTTTCTGATTTTAAATAGGGCTCATCCTTGGGTGATAACAAACACTCACAACAAGTTTCATCAAAATCTGTCATGAATTGCACTTCTAGAGTGTTTACGAGCATTTCAAGAGCAAGGGCAATAACTCATAATAAATATTTTTCGATTTTTCTGATTTTCAATAGGGTTCATTCTTGGTTGATTACAAACAACCATACCAAGTTTCGTCGAAATCAGTCAAGAATTGTGCCTTGTAGAGTGTTCACGAGTAATTGTGGACGGACCGACGGACGGACATGGGTGACAGCAATATTCGCCCCCCATTTCATGTGGCCGTATAAAAATCGAATGTGTTTTCAAGAACAAAGGCAATAATTCATATCAAATATTTTTCGATTTAAATTGATTTTCAATAGGGTTCATCCTTTAGTGATAATAAACAATTTCAGCAAGTTTCATCAAATTCCATAAAGAATTGTGACTTGTAGAGTTCATGAGTTAAAAATCGAACGCGTTTTGAAGAACAAGGGCAATTACTCATATTAGATATTTTTCGATTTTACCAATTTTCGATGGGGTTCATCCATGGGTGATAATAAACAATTTCAGCAAGTTTTGTCAAAATCCGTACAGAATTGTGACTAGTAGAGTGTAGGGGCGATGGCAATATACGTCTACATTTCCATGTGGGGGTATAAAAATCATTATGTCCTGAAAGCAATATTTAGTAAATAATATGTACTGGCAATGTTACTTTTGGTGTAATTCATGACATCTTCAATATCTCCAGTCCGATCATTAAATAATTTTCCTACAACACTCTTACGAAGTATTGAACTGAATTTACCGCTTCCTTTTCGACACTCTTCAGATATGGAAAGACTTACAATAAGTAAGCCAGTTTAGCAGGCAAAAAATGAATGTTCACAGGCTACAGTAAAATTACAAAACAATTTAATGAAACGAATTTTGTGTTTACATAACAATTAGACATCCAGTCGCATATGATAATCTACGGATAATAACAAAGATTTCTGAAACGACGTCTATGTTATATAGGCCTATTATAGACCTTGCAGATTGACGGTATTAAATCTATGAAGACTTCACGGTTTCGTTTTTTAGTAGAAGTAGGGCTACCGTAAAGTTTATTGTAAAAGATATGATAGATATTTTGTTGATCTATGGTAGAGAATTGGACAGTAAATCGGTAGGTCCCGTGAAAATTTAGTCAGGAAAAAAACAAAAAAATCGGTAGAATTGGGTATCCTGTCGGTAGAGCGATGGACAACATGCAAAAGCAGTAGAAACGCCGACATCATCCGTAGATTACACATGTATGGATAAACAAAGTTTGAAAATCTTAATGCATAAACTGATTAATATTGCTATTTGAAGATTTCATAATTTTATGTCCAATTTGATTGTTTTTTTTTAATATTGAAATAGTACTATTTAGTCATATGTGTCAATTTCCTGGTAAATTTATTGACATTGTTAACTTTATTAATTTACAAGAAATATTGTTATTTATGCATTGAACGGACTAAATAAAATTGATGAATTGATTCATTTATTTTAGAGTATCCTAATCTTGTTTCAGTTTATAATGTTAACAAGAGTTACCTCTGAATGTTTTTTCTCTGAGTTGACATTAGTAAACTGTTACTGTGTATTTAAAGCATTTATATCCCATAAATATATAAATATGTATTTGTAATGAAAGAGTAGTGTCCTCGTAACAAGAATAAATTTGATTCAATTAAAAATCAGATGGTATGCAGAGTAAAAGCTATCCGTCAATCTTAATAACATGAGAATTCTAAATTCAATTATCTCTGTTTATTTGCAAACCAATTGTACCTCCCTGGGACCTTTATAAGGAAAGTAATACTGATTTGATGTCATGTTATAGAAATAGCATAATATCACTTCCAAGCGAGGTAACAAATGCCCACTACCAGCTGTCAGAAATGATAACAAAGTAACAAAGTCTGTAGTGGTTTAATATGTGAAACCAATCATCCTATTTTTACTAATTTCAAGATTTACAGAGATCTCATACCAAGTTTCATCAAGATCATATAAAAAATGTATTCTCTATCAGGCCTACAAGCCAAATTAGACGCATTGAATTAATTCAAGGGCAATAACTCCAAATCCGTTCACCCGATTGTTACCAATTTCAACTTGACTGAGATATTGTCCATATATACATGCATACCAAGTTTCATTGAGATCAGATAAAAACTGCACCCTGTATCATGACTACAAGCCTTTTTAAATCAGAAGAATCGAAAAATATTTAGTATAAGTTATTGCCCATGTTCTTGAAAAAGCGTTCAATTTTAGCTTGTAAACACTGCCGATGGCACAATTCTTGACAGATTTTGATGAAACTTGGTGTGAGTGTTTGTACTCACCCGAGGATAAACCCTATCGAAAATCAGAAAAATTGAAAAACATTTAGTATGAGTTGTTGCCCTTGTTCTTGAGAAGGCACAATTCTAGACAGATTTTGATAATATTATTCAGTATTGCCTCAAAAAGTTCAAAAGAAGAATATGTCTGAAGGTTAAATGTTTCATACTGGTAATTGTTACTGTACTGCCAAATATTTTTATTTAAAATCAAAGCTGCCAGTGGCCATATATAACCTTGCCTGGCAAGCTATCTTACATGTCTGTATGATTCAGTCATTTCATCAGGGTCTTATCAAATATAAAATTTTTGGCTTGAGTCGCTGCAGATAGGGAGTTTTTATTACGAACTCCACTCTATCCACAACTCATGTAATTTGTTAGGGTGTAGGTTTTTGTTTTTCTCTCGTTTATTTCCTTGCAATTCACAGCATTCTGAACCTTGGAACGTATGTTGGCAGGATCAGGCATTGTGCCACTGGTTTGAAAGAGGGTTTGAGGAGTGCAGGACCAGTTCCGTTCCTAATTCCAACAAAAAACTTCTTTGTTTTTGGGATACATGAGTGAAGATCTTAATGTTCTTTGAATATTAAATCTTTGAACTATGCAAAGTTTTCTATTATGCACAAAGCAAATTTAG